CATTAAAAACTATTAGTAAAATATTTTTGAAGATAAATAAGTATTCAACATGGATAAATAAGATTTATGCAGTATTAGTCCTTTAGGACAATATCTTTAACAAGCTTATATCTTAGATGAGACTATTTAAAACAATATTTTTAGGAATTATAGAACTATTTTTGTAGTGCAGCTTTTCAAGTAATAACATATAGGGAGAACACATTTGTCTTGAGATAGCAAAAGCCTACGTGGAGGGCAGAAGTCTGTTTGCTTTACATTTGTAGAAACCGAGTGGATATCCCCTTTGGCTCTTTGCAGGGACCATTATAAAACAGAATATGAAAATAAGCTCCGTGATGAACTGGAACAAATCCGATTAAAAACTAATCAAGAAATTGACCAACTTCGAAATGCCTCCAGGGAAATGTATGAACGGGAAAACAGGTAAAAGGAAGAAAAAAAAAGGGTAGTATATGTGATGTCTTTTCTCTCTTTATTTTTATTTTGGAGGCTGTAAGAATTTATTGAAATTAAATTGTATTTCTATAGATAAAGTTCTTTTGATAAATACATTAAAGCCTGAGTATAGTGAGACATGCAAGTGTCTAAATCTGTGACAGGCAGCTTGAGACCCAGACTGCAGACTCCTTTACAAGCATTCTTCAGGGGCGGTGTGGGTTCGGTTTGTTCCAGTGCACCTTCATGAAGTGAGTCTCACAATAAAGGGAGTCGCACACGTATTTTGGTTTCCCAGAGCATACGGAGGTTATGTTTCACTGTAGCCCATTAAGCTTGTAATAGTATTGTGGAAAAGTGTGAAATACTGTGAGGATTACCAAAGTGAGACACAGAGAAATGAAGTGAGCACTCGCAGTTAGGAAAATCACACTGATAGACTTGTTCAGTGCACGTCTGCCACACACCTTCAACTTATAAACATAGCACAGTATCTGGAGGTGCAATAAAATGAAGTGCCATAAAGCAAAGTAGGCCTGTACTTTGGTATTCCCACCATCTCTTTATTACCCTGGTAACTGATTTTATTCTTTTACTCTAGTTAAGTTTGAGGGTGAAGGTGAAAATTAGCTATTGAAAATCCTTTAGAGCACAGTTCTACCCTGACATTTGAAGGGTTACCATGAGTCAGAAACTACTGAAGAGCAACTGACTTTGAAGAGAGACGAGGGCTCCTTCCTGTAACACACAAATGGTTGCCCCTGGAAGCGTTTTCTAACTAGAAGAGTGATATGAATTGTGACTTCCCCTCACTTAGCTGCTGGCCTTCAAAGGTGCCACATTAAAGCAATCTGTAGTAGGAGCTTTCTATTCAGCAACCTTTAGATCTGTAGATATTAGGTTCTGCTAGGTTAGTGATTGACAGTATTAGGGGGGAAAATAATGCTACTTAATACAATGGGAATTAATTTTATATAACATTATAAATCACTTGATATTGAAAGTTTTAAAATATTAAATGGGGAAAATATTTTGAATTTGACTTCTCACTATTAGGCATGTATGCTATTTTCATTGATATCAGTTATATTTTAAACCAAACTTAAATAATCTGTAATTAGCATAGTAACGTCATGTCTACTAGAGTATACTAATACTCGCTGTCATTGAGTCGGTTCTGACTCATGGTGACTCTATCAGATAAAGTAGAACTGGCCCTGTGACTTTCTGAGACTATAACTCTTTACGGGAGCATAAAGCCTCATCT